CCTAGCAAGAGGCACGGTTTTTGGTGATTGGGGACAACTTTCTACTACTCATATAAACCAATCTCATGTTATTATACTATAGTGGGAAAATAGGGTTCTTTCTCTTATAAACTATATTACACCCTTTTACATGCACACGGTGTGTTGTGTAGCAGCCCTAAGAAACATTGGTGTTAATTGATTATTCCAATATATTCTGACTCGTTTTGTGTTTTCTGTGGTTTATAGAAATACTGTTCTCCTCTCCCCTGTTCTTGCACCTTCCTACCCACCCATGATAAGTTAAGAGGTTCTATTTTTCTTTACTTTCTTTTCAGTTGTATAAGCATGATTTAAAAGAATGAACTGATAGGCACTTTTATGGACTTTTTTAGCACAGAATCATATGCATGAATTGTTTTTTGCATTTATTTATTAGCACATGAGCACTTTATTTGATACGTTATAGTTTTGAATGTGCACATCGTATATATTTTTTTAGCACTTTTTCACTTTGCTGATAGTGTTTTTATTTAAAAGGGATAGTGCACTTATTATTGGATTGATTTTGTATAGACATGGTTAAAAGTTTTAGTAAGGTGGGTCATGCTTATGTTGATACTTTTCAGACTGGTAATCCCAGGTCCTAGAACAAATAAACATTTTACAGTAAACAACCAAGCACCCTCTTTAGCTCACATTCACTGTCCTTTACATTTTTGGCTTACATTTACTGCGTAGCGCCTTCTTTAGCTCAAATTTACTGTCAGGGTGCACACTCTTTAGTTTGAGTTCACTGCTCAGCTGCATCTTCTTCAGCCCAAATTCGTTGGCTGTGCCCACCACTGTAATGCTGCGTGCCCACCCAACCACCTGTCCTTTACAATTCACAGAGACTACAGTCACAGAGGCCTTGTATGCCTTGTATGCACAGGCATGCTGTGACAACTGAAACTAGCATCACTGTGCATGCTATGATCTGCTCACCCATCACTAGTCAGTTACTGTCTGTAGCCTTCCCGTTTGGATAGTGATAGGTGATGTATGGGCATGACAGACATTTGGTAGGTGGGTACTACATTGCACCCACCTCCTGCCCACCATAACCACTTTTTGTAAGTATTATCCTTTTTATTGAGAGTTTCAGAACACAGAAAAGAAAAAAACTATTTACATTTGGTAGACATAAAAAGGGTCTGGACATTTGGTAAACAATAGGAGTAGTAGAAAACTAAAGCGGTAGTAAACTTGTTTACCCCCTGCAAGGTAATATATTGTGCTAGTATGCATCGCACATTATGAAAGACTTACTTAGAACGAAGCCCATCAGCAGCAAGCTATCAATGCTGACAGGGCTTCCATCTTCACCCAGTCTTTCTTCTGGGTTCCTAGGCTGTGGCTGCTTGATTGGTGGAGCCACGAATGATGTGACAGTTTTGGCCACAGCATACAGCTCTGAAGGAATGGCACGGGTATGCCGTTCCTTCAGTGCGCATGCGCCAGTTATGTCACCAGCTGCTGCTCTGTAGAATATCTCCTAAATGGTCAACGTTTAGGACATATTCATTTTACCTACAGGTAAGCTTTATTATAAGCTTAATAATATTATAAATTATAATAGAAATGAGCGTTTACTACCACTTTAAATAAAACTAAAGACAAAACTTATTTTTTGTAAGTTTTGGAGAAAGCAGAGAGGGATTAGAACATGTGTAAGTTTTTATTGCTTTCTGTGTCCCTGTTAGGGAGATTCACCCTCTCTATTTGTCTCGTTTACCATTATCATTGAAAGTGAAATTAAATCAGAAAATTTTGGTTGAAATATTCCAATGGGGACTCTGGTTCTGGTAACTGTGGTGACACACAAGGATTCCCTCACTTTGGAGGGATTTCCTCTCATTTCCTTTTTTGGCTTTGGGACAGAAAGTGAAGGAAAATCTACCCTTTGGGACACAGATGGCAAAAAAAATTGACAGATGTTATAATCCCCCCTTACGCCATCCAAAATGAAAGAAAAAAGCTTTTAGTTATTCTTTAATGAATATTTGGTAAGCATTTGTTGATATAGGTGCTCAAATCAACCCAGAGGGTAGGTTGTTGAGTCATTATGGAGCTAACATATTACAAAAGGTTGAGAGAAGTGGGGCTAGTAAAAAAAAGTGAATCCAAATAACAAAAAAGTCAAGGATTGAGACACCTCCTGTGTACCAGACATGTTCAGCAAGAAATAGAAAGAGAAGGGGGATACAACAGAAGAAAAAGAGGGCTAAGACAAGGGAGAGGAAGGACAATAAGGCAAAAGGGAAAGAGTAGGGAAAATAGGGGAAGTTGGAAGATGCATCCCTAGGACATCAATAAGTCTCAGAAGCACACACTATCAAGAATCAAGAGGAGCCAAATTGTAAAAAATGGGGACGTTATATTACTGAGCTGTAAGTTCCTCCATGTGCAGTAGACAATTGATTTCTTCAATCCATTCCTTCAGTGATAGGGGAGTCATCAACTTCCAGTGTCTTGGAATGACTGTCCTCACTACCAGCAGTACAAAACTGAGCAGGTTTTTTTAATGACTGGTATGTAACCAGAAAGAATGGAAACTAATAAACAAATAATAAACAACTTCGGCAGTATGGTGTGTATTGACCGAGATCAGGTGGGCATAGGTGTCAAAAAACTGTTGTCCAAAAGGGGTTCCATTTGGAGCAACCCAGTGTGTCAGTGGAGGCTAGGCAATGCCAGAAAAAATAAGGACCATTGGGAAAAATTCTGTGTGTGTAGGTGGGGACATCTATCTTCACTCAGGACACCTTCCCTGAAACCCACTGAGGACCATCAGACAGCTATAGGTAAGGTACCTGTTGGGAAGCCGATGTTTGACATACCTGCTTTGGGGACAATTTAGTCATATGTCAGTTAATGTGCTGGTACTTTTTTGGATTGTGGGATGAAATTGGAATACTTGAAAAGAAATCTGCAAACCCATGTAGATTATTTACTTGCAGGAAATTATATTTAGGAATCTAGCACAATGTAAGATGAGTGCTAAGTTTTATGCAAACAAGGAAATTCTTTCTTTCTCTGCTTTAGCTTCCATGAGATGTAGTTATACCATGGAATATTTTACTGTCTCTTTGTTCTCATTATTTATTTTTTTCTTTCTTTCAAACTGAGTTTTAATGAGGAAACACATGAAGGTTACATCTATGACACATATAATATAGCCTCACAAGCTATAGATCCATCAACATACATAGCAAAGTAGCTCATATAGGTAACCAGTTCAAAGAAATTAAAAAGATCATCCTGGTCGAACTGAAAGGAAAACGATGTGGCAAACTTATTGGATAGTCAAAATCAGTGTGATTATCATTTCCCATATCAAGACAAGGAGAAGAAAGAGATGGGGAACAAAAGGAGAGAAAAAAAAACTAAAAAAGAATGCAAGAGGGGGGGTAATTAGAAAAGAATGAGAAAAGAGGGAGAGTAGGTAAGAGATAACAGGGAGACATCTCCCTGCAGCAATCCAAGAATGCATTATCTAGTATATAAGTTAGCTTTCAAAAACATTTTCCCTTTTTTTTGCAGCTTTTATTTTGTAATATGCAAATTGTCTTTCTTTTCCCATTTTTGAAGTTACCATGTATTGTTGCCCATTTCTGTTTTTTTTCCTATTCTTTAGCAAAATTTGCAAGTTTTAGATGCTTAAAGCTAGATTTCTCCTTTATAGTAATATTTACATAGTGTATCCAGTGCTATTCCTGTGACCTACTGTTATCTATTGCAGCCGAGAAGCTGTATTTCTGATAATAATCTTTGCTTAAGGAAAATTATATTTATTATACAGAAAAAAAGTACTTTAATAATACTCAGACCATAATAAGCACTGTTTTTCATGTTCTGAATTTATTGGGATGTTTACAAAGTTGTGCCTAGATGTTTTAAACTAACAGTAAGGTAAACATAAAATAATTAAAGTATTTAAGCCAACTGTGGCAGCTAATAAATGCGATACAGATAGCTTTATATAAAATATTTTTAAAGCGACTCTGTAAGATCCTAAGGGAAGATTTGATATACTCACTGCCAATCCTTGTGACTAACTGCCCTCCATTCCAGCACTGAAATTTCTGTCAGTGTCATCAGCATTTGACATTCACAGGCGTGTTGGATGCCAGGGTGCCCTGATGCATGGCGTGGATCTTTTATCCAACCCCTACGTCACTGTTAGTCCAGTAGTGACGCAGTGTTTGAAGAAACCATGACGTTCAACATAGGCAGCTGACACTTCTGAAGGCACTGCATCACTAGACACAAGGGCGCCAGAGAGGTTAGGATATTATCTCTTCTCTTACAGGGAGCTGACATTTTAAATTAATTTTGAGACCTGACAGGGTTTCTGTAAATTTTACATTATTCAGGAAAGACGCTTAAGTGGTGGGATGGGACAGTTTGAGTTAAAGTAAACCTATACTTAGAAATATATGGAAGCTTACATTGCCAACCTGGTTGCATGGCTGTGATATTGATTCAAAGGGGAAAAACAGTGTTGGCCGAGCTATGAACCCCTTTCTGAGATCAACCACCCTGAGTTGCAGAAGATATTAGGGATGTTCCTTCAATGAATACCAATTCATTTCTATGAGAATCTGAGTCAAGGCCTCCTCTAACAGCTAAATCTTCTCAGCATTTCAGAGCTGGTTGGACATAATCTTTTCTCTCCTGTAAAAGGTAATTATTATTATTATACAGGATTTATATAGGAGCAAACGTTTGCACAGTGTTTTACTATATAAAAGAAGACAGTAAAATTACAATTCTAAACAAGCAAGTTAGGAGAGCCGTGCTTGTGAGAGCTTAAAATTTAAAAGAGCTGAGTGACATAAATTGCTCAGCAGCTCCATGATTGAGAATGTACTTGGAGAATAATATTAATAAATAATTGTTCTAATGTTCCAAGCCTGTGGTTTAAGTTGTAATCATTGTTTCTACATCCCTCACATGTGTCTTTTTTTTTCCATCAGCAATCTGACAAAGGAGATTTGAGTACACTGAGTCTTCCCCCCAGTACACTTCATGGAGGCTCCGAAGGAAACATCAGCCTGGAAGTCCCCGAAGGGGCACCAGATCCACAGCGCACTAAGGCAGCCATGGACCATCTACACCAAAAGATCCTTAAGATTACTGAACAGATAAAGATTGAGCAAGAGGCTAGGGACGATAATGTGGCAGAGTATCTGAAGTTGGCTAATAATGCAGACCGACAACAGGCCTCTCGCATCAAACAGGTAATATTAACATGTATACAATGTAGAACTTGGTACTTAAAAGGAATTTTTTTCTCCAGCTTCTTCCAAGCAGCCTACAGTCACCTCTGTATTGAATATAGTAGTTTATTTTTGCATGTCTTAAATTTCAACACGTATGCTGTTGCTACCATTTAATTAACAATACAAATATACTAATATACTTGAGTAGTGTGTTAAAGCCAAGAAATTAAAATGAAACACCCTAGCAGTGCCCCCCCCCCCCCAACTTTAGGGGTTAAATGCTTGCTATGGCCAGGGGTTACAGTACAGGCATCACTACTTACCTCACACCCCCACTCCTGCTCTCTCCTCATGTATTGTACATTGAGGAGGCTGGAGAGTGCAGCGAAAAGAAGAGACTGCAGGGGACCAGTCATATCGCTGGAGCCCAGAATAGGGTAAGAATTTACCTATTATTCTGATACCCCTAGACATAATGAGCATTTCACTGACTCTTTCATAACTTACTCTTTTTTGGTTCCCCATTCACTTGTAAAAGTAGAGTGAATAGAATAATCACTTTTTAAAGGTGTTTCTTTTCCTTAAAAAATTTTTGACAAGTGAATTAAAAAATAAACATCGGTCTTTTGTACCATCATTTTGCCCTCTTAAATATTAATATGCTTTTTATAACTGTTATACCCATGGTTAATACCTTCTTTAATCATGATTGTAAATATTTTAATTAATACGATTAGGATTTTAAACATATTTTGTTTTGTTTAGTCAGATAAAATGAAGCAGTAATTCTGATTATGAACATTTTTCACTTTCTTTTAAAGTGTAGCCTTTGCTCCTTTTCATATGTTGATCTGTTAAATCTTACAACATGTAAAAAAAAAAAGCTGTTCTTTACCAAGATCAGTAGCTCAAGCTGTATTTTTTTGTTGGTCTACTGTATATGGTTGAAGCTCTCTTGAAAGCCATTAAGGCCCTGTGTGTGGCCTGTGGACTATTAGGCATCATATAGGCAGCAGAATGGCAGCGGAGTGCAGGTGCAGAACACTCTGAAAGAATTACTGTACTGTGAGGTGGAGTTACCTCTGCCCACTCTACAAGTAGAGTCCCAGCCTTGGCAAACAGAGAGAGCTGCACAAGAACATGTGGTCAGGTAAGTTATCAACAGTGCTGGGGGTAGGTTAATTTTCACTTATGTAAGCACCAATGTGGAGAATGTTCATTTTCACTGCCATGGCCACCAATGTAGGAGGAGTGGGAGTTAAATTTTATTGCCACTGACCACTAATGTGGGGGAGGGGTTAAAAGTACTGGCACCAGTGCTGGGTACTATTATTTTGTTCACTGACACCAATACTTGGGTTTATTATTGTGGTCACTGACACCAATGTTGGTGGTTATTATGGCATCCACTGATACCAATGCTGGGGGTTATTGTGGTCACAGATAGTAATATTGAGGGTTATTATGGCATCCACTGACACCAATGTTGGAGGTTATTATTGCAGTCACTGACACCACTGCTGGGGATCATTATTGCATTCACTGACACCAGTGCTAGGGGTTATTGTTGCATCCACTTACACTAATGTTGGGGAGGTTCTTCTTGCGTCCAGTGATACCAATGTCGGGGGCGATTTTTGCATCCACTGGCACCTACAGTATGTTGAAAGGTTTTATTGCATCCACTGACACCAGAGTTGGTGGCTATTACTGGATCCACTTGACACCAATGTTGGGGGTTATTACTGCACTCACTGACCCCAATGGGGAGGGTTCTTGTATCTTTTCAATGTGCATTGGGAAATGCTGCAAAGAATGCAGCAGGACTGAAATTTTGGGGCATTAAGGTGCAAAAATGCTCTGTTATTATGTGGCCCTCTGGAAGTGTCGTGGGAAACACTTGAGACTCTCTACATTTTGAAGTTAACCACCACTGTAGTGAGAGCTTGACAGAATCTACCTACCACAAGGTAATGGCAAAATCTGTATATATGTCATCCACCAGACTCTGGGATACTGATAAGCCTTCAAGTTAAGAGTTGAAGTTTCAACACTTTCAGCCTTAATAAAGGAGTTATCCCATCCTCTAGCTAAGCAGTTTCTGTGTGCAGCTATAAAGATCAAGGTGCCAGTGAAGCCTTTATTTCCAAAATGGGAATAACTGTTAGTTCTGAGAAAGGGTAAGGACCTCTTTGCTTTCCTGCTTCCTTCTGTTCATTGTGGCACCTATCCTTACTCACAGTGTCATAGCTGTAGTCTTTGCCACAGTTACAACGTTAGGCTGAAAAACAGATACTAGTCCATCTAGTTCAACCAATAAAATAATAAAGAAAAACACAATTACAGTAGAAAACACACATATACACTATCCTATATCCACAGTTGATCCAGAGGAAAGCAAAAGAAAACCTCAATAAAGCATGATCCAGTTCGCTCCAGTGGCAGAGAAAAATCCTTCCTGATCTCCCAGGAGGAAATCAGATATTCCCTGGATCAACTACCCCTGGTATTATTACTTCTAAAAATTAGTGCTGTTTATATTTTCTGCATTTAGAAATACATGCAGCTCTTGTTTTTAATAAAATTCTTTTTATTGAGTTTGACATACAGCTTGACTTGAATAAAACAACAAAAAAAAACATACAACCAGCGTCCTCGCAGGGCCATAACCACAAATAGTAATAACTCTAACAGAGCACCTCTCTAAAGAAGCCCCCCCCCCCCCCCCACCTAACCAGGCTATCATAACCGGCAAGTTAAAGGCAGTACAGGATATCGAAGCTTGCGTGGGCCACAGGGGAGATAGATGTCAATAAATTTCCTCTAGATGTAATAAGAAAATACTGGGCCCATAAGATAGGATACTCATTTAATGTCATCTGTAAACCAGGGAAAAGAAATGTTCAATAAACTGGAGCTAGAAAGCATTTGAAAGGGACTTCAGGGGACCAAGACCAGCGTAAGGAATAACTTTGAATTAAAACACACATTATTAGGCAGTGGTGGAGGGGCTATCTAGCCAGATATGCCACACCTTGTCAAATTTTTGTGGGCATCCCCTGCTCTTGTAGGTGGCCTTATAAAATGGTATCATTTTGTTAACCAACCCCTTCCAGAAGGATAGAGTTTTTTTACAATATAAAATTAAGGCTTTGTGGGTGTAAAATAATAGAAGGCTAAGCACAGTGTGTTGGGCCCTAGTGGGAGTTAGGCCTTCTACCAGGCCAAGGAGACAAGCAGACACAGTTACAGGTATTGGTACAGATGTGATCTCAGTAATCCAATGCAACTATTCTTTCCATAAATTCTGAACTACAGGACAGTTCCAAAACATGTGTCCAAAGATACCTGGGGAGTGCAGACACTTGCGGGTAGATTTGGGCCAGTTTAGCAGGAGTATAATAAATCCTGTGAAAAAACTTGAAATAGATCGATCTATCTCGAGAGGATACCAGATGAGAAAATGGAAAGGCCCACATGTTGTCCCTGTCTTCTCCATCCAAATCTAGGACTTCATTCATTTCACCTGGCAATGAGTCACCGAGGGAGGAAGAACCGGAAAAACCTCTTTATAAAGTTCTGACATTGTTTTTTTTCAGTGATTCATCTTTAAGAACATTTGCAAGAGAGAAAGGCTGATTCTCTACTTTATTAGAGCCAAACTGGGCGACAAAGGCATGTTTCATTTGCAAGTAACGGAAGAGATATGCATTGGGAAGGTTACATTTATGCTTTAGATTATCAGATGTGAGCAGTGTAACCCCATTCACAACATCCCTTACAGTCTTAGCACCCTTCGATGCCCAAATAATAGGGTCAGGTATAGAAGCAAAGTGGGGAAACTTGGGATCCAGCCAGAGTGAGGAGGCCGATAAGACAACTGTACAGGTAGCGGCCAAAATGTGCTGGGTAATGTCTCAAGGTTTGATTGCAGCCCGCATAGCAGTGGTAAGAGGAAAGGCACCTCCCGAGTCTCGACACAGTAGAAGTCATAGGTAGATCCAGTAATCACCCTAAACCTGGTCAGAGAATGCATGCAGACCTTTAGTTACACGCTTGGTCAGCTGCGACAGCTCTGGCTTTCTGTGAAAGATGATGTGCAATGTACCACCTCTACAGAAACATTGTTCTTTTACTTTTCTTATGCTGCTTTGTGACTAACTGGCTTGTCTTTAGCAGAGAGGGGGTTTATACCAGCTAGTACTGTTCAAAGAGGGTGCAGTGTTTTTTTGCCTAGAGTCTTACTCCTGTAGGTGGCGCTATAAAACTGTATTGTCAAGAATGAGAAGAGCTGTGTCTGTCAATGAACACAGAGAAAGGGAATTTACAGTTAGGAACCTCCTTAGATGTCCTATTGTTATGCTGACATGAGGTGAGCCAAAAATACAGATAGTTGTTTTATATAGTATTCTTTTCTTGGCTCCCCTCATGTCAGCTTCCCTCTCTGGTGTATCTTTGCTCAATTTTTTAGTGGAACATTAGGATAGGAATTTGGGCTGGATATATTTTCTAGTGTGGGGTTGTGCTATCATCAGGTAGTGGGGGTGAAGCAACCCCATTTGGTGTACTAACACGAGGGAGAGCAAGGAAAGTAAAATTACGGTAAGCATGGAAAACAATTTTCTATAATCCATATGCATGTATGTAAATGCATATTACATAACAAATACTGGGTATCACCATGCCAGAGGTAAGACATTAATTAACCTCCCTGAAGGTATTCCCGAGTGTAGCTTGGGGTAAAGTTTCAGCACCAAAAGCGGTAACCCTGAGCTACACTCGGGAATACCCTGCAGCGTTGCTCCGGGATCCCTTCTGCACTTACCTTGTCCTGCGCTCCCGCGGTGTCCCCCCTGCAGCGTCCCCTGTAATGTCCTCCGGCCCATGCCGGCATCTGTCTTCCGGATTCCATTCCCTGCGACGTCAGGACGTATGGGGACGGCACTGGCGGGAAATTTAAAAATGTCAAAAAGTGACATTCACTAAATACACTAAAATCACATAGTAAAACATTACTG